AGAAGAACAAGCAAAAAACGCGGGTTTTGTCGCTATTTCCAGCCTCTGGGGGCTCTTACCGGGACGTAGGGCCTTCAAGAAGCAACTCGGGATAAAAAACCGGTCCCAGGGAATGGGTCGACACTCCTCCTAGGGGTCGATGTCATTAAAAAATCAGGACGTCGGGGGTCTGGGGAGGGGGGCGTCCAGGATGGGGAGAAGCGCGGGTCATGGGCGGCAGCACGTGCGCGACCCGGGGGGGGGGGGGGGGCGGGGGCGTTTGGAAATGAGAAGAGGCGCCATGAGACCTGTGGAGATTTCATGGCCCCCGCCATGAGATCCCCCCTCCCCCCCTCAGTCATCCCCCCCCTGCCCTGTGATCCGACGGCGCGCAGAAATTGAGACATCTCTGGGGATTGCGGCCAGAACCCCAGACCCCATCGTTGTCCTCCTCCTCCTCCTCCTCTCCCCTCTCTCCTCTCCTCCTCATCCCCTCGTCTCTCCTCTCCTCCTCTCCACATCGTCCTCCTCTTCTTCCTCCTACTCGAGCAAGATGCAGCCCGGAAAAAAAAAAAACTGCCAGCTAAACGCCTGGCTCGCAATAAGTTGGGGACGGGAAGGGTAGCAGGGAACTTGCTGCCCCCGACTCCTCCGCCCCGCCTCTGACTTGCGCATTCCCGTCCCGTGGTCGAGTAGAAGGCTCAGTCAAAGGATCGCGCCTCGCAGCGGCCAATTCATTGCGATGCAACGGCGATGCATCGGCGACGTCGGCGATGCATCGGCGTCGTCGGCGTGAGGAAACACGGGTCACATCCAGCGGGATGCGTTTTTCACGCGCGTTCGCTTGGCCGCTTCGGCGGCGCGGTTCAAACACGGTGGTGCCCCCCCCCCAAAAAAAAAAACACTCGGCGCCGTCGATCAGAACCATGGCGACCCCCCTCCCCCCTAACCCCCCCACCTCCCGAACCGCCTCCCCCCTCCCAAGGGGAAGGGGAGGGTCCAAACCCCCCCCCGCCCCCCGCCCCCCCTGGCGCCGCTCGGACGCGGCGCTGGGGCCGCAGAAGCCCCGACGGCGGGGACGCGCGACGAATGACCAGAGAGGACCATAAAGGGAATCGGGGGGGTGGTACCAACCCCCCCCCCCCTCGCGCCAGCGCCGGCGCCGGCGCTGGCGGCGGCCAGCAGCGCCGACGGCAGGGACGCAGCGACGATGACCAGAGAGGGCCCAGAGGCCGCAGAGGGAACACACAAATCGCCGTATCGAGCCCTCGCCCTCCAGAGACCACCGAGAGGCCCTTAGGAAGGTTCACGAGGCTTCAGACATGCTCCTCAGGCGCCCCGGAAACCCTTCTGACGAGACCTCAAGAGGCATCCATTCAAAATCTGACCCAAAGCCAAAACGGTGGTGGGAAGAGCGAATGCCACACCACCACCACCACCACCACCACCACCTCAAACCACCACACCACCACACCACCACCACCACCGCCACCACCACCACCACCACCACAACCACCACAACCCACCACCACCACAACCACCACAACCTCCACAAACTACTACACCACCCACCAAAAACGCCACCACCACCACAACAACCCACCACAACCCACCACAACCACCACCACGACCACAAACCACCACACCACCACCACAACAACTATTACCACTACCGCCACCACCACCGCCCACAACCCACCACCCACCACCACCACCAACACCGCTACCCGCAGCACCACCACCAACACCACAGCCCACCACCACCACCACCACCACAAACCACCACGCCACCACCACCACGACCGCCACCACCACTACCACCATCACCACCACCACCTCAACCCACCACCACCACCACCAAACAACCACACAACCACCACCAAGACAGCTACCACAACCACCACCACCACAGCCACAACAACAACAACAACAACAACAACAACAACATCAACAACAACAGCAACAACAACAACAACAACAAAAACAACAACCACAACAACAGCAGCAGCAACCACAACCACAACCAAAACCAAAAACAACAACAACAACAACAACAACAACAACAACAACAACAACAACAACAACGACAACAACAACAACAACAAGAACAACAACAACAACAACAACAACAACAACAACAACAACAACAACAACAACAACAACAACAACAACAACGACGACGACGACGACGACGACGACGACGACGACGACGACGACGACGACGCACCACCACACACCGAAACAACCCACCACCAGTACCACCACCTCAACAATCTACCACAACCCACCACCACCACCACCACCGCCACACCCACCACCACTACCGGCAGAACAACCCACCACCACAAACCACCACAAACCACCACGCCACCACCACCAACACCACCACCACCACCGCCACCACCACCTCCACAAACCACCGCCAACACCGCCAACACCACCACCACCACCACAAACCACCACCACCACAACCACCACACCACCACCGCCACCACCACCACCCCAAACCACCACCACCACCACCACAGCCACCACACACCACCACCAAACCACCACCACCACACCACCACCACAACCACCACCACCACCACCACCACAACAAACCACCACACCAACACCACACAACCACACCACCGCCAACCACCACCACCACAACCCCAAATACGACCACACCACCTCCACAGGACCACCACACATCACCAACACCAACACCGCCACCCCCACCACCACCACCACCACCACCACCGTCACCACCACAACAACCCACCACCACCCACCACCACCACAACCAGAACCACAAACCACCACACCACCACAGCCAACACCTTAACCCACGACCCACCACAACTACCACCACCACCAGCACCAGAAACCACAGCACCACCACCACCACCGCCACCATCACCACCAGCACCACAACCTGCCACCACAACCACCACAACAACCACCACCGCCGCCGTCACCAACCACCACACCACCACCACCACCACCATCACCACCACCGCCACAACCACCACCACCACCACTACAGCCCACCACCACAACCACCTCAGAGAGGCCCCATGAGACGCTCAAGAGGCGCCCAGGAGGCGCCCAAGAGGCTTCTCAAATGCCCTTCGGAGGCCCCCGAGGGCCCTCCGACGGGACCCCAAGAGGCATCCATTAGGACTCGGACCCAAAACCAAGGCACGGGGGCGGAGCGTCGTCGTCGTCGTTGTCGTCATCGTCGTCCCCGTCGTCCTCGACGACGTTCACCGCCACCGCCGCACGCCGCCGCAGGCGCCGGCGCCGGCCCACAAAAGGAAGTCGTCGTCCCCGCCGCCGCCGCCAGCCGCCGCCGACGATGCATCGACGATGCAGCGCGATCCTCCGACCCAACCTAATTACTCTGACCCCATCTAAGACGAGAGCAGGGCAGTCCCCCCCATCCAAGTCCCGACCCTTTCCCTGGGACTGGTTTTTCATCCCGTGTCGTTGCTGGACGGTCCCGAGGCCTGGCGAGGGCCCCCCGAAGCCGAACACGGCCACAACCTTTCCGCCCTGACTGTTGTTTATCTTACGACGCGATGATGCCGCCTCTGCCTCGCGGCCGAGGTTACCTGCTGCCCTCGTGTGTCACTGGTGTTGCCTGCGGCCCTGGACGCGTCACTCGTTGCCTGTTGCCTCAGACGCGTCGCGCCTTGGGCCCGATGGCTCGAAAAGAGGGTGCCCTAAATGTGGATCCGCCCCTCGGTGGCCCAATGTTGGAGGCGTGTTTGGCCCTGTTGGGGTCCTCTTGCGGCCCTTTGGGTAGGTCCGGGAGGTCTCGTGGGGCCGCCTGGGCCCCCCTGGGCCCAACACGACGGCCACGACCCTTCCCCCCTGCTTGTTGCTTACCTTACGACGCCATCGTGCTTGGGGTTGGCCGCCCCCGGCTCCTCCGCCGCCTCTGCCTCGCGGAAGAGGCTCGGGCCCGGGCCGCCCGCCTCCGCCCCCTCGGCGTGCAGCTCCTCCTTGGCCGCCGCCGCGAGGGCCTCCGCAGCGCGCGCCGCGGGCCGCGCGGCCGCCGCCTCGGCCTCGGTGGCCCCGCCCGGCGCGCCCGCCGCGCCCGCGCGCGGCTTCGCCGGCGCGGCCCCGCGGGCAGCTGGCCTCGGCGCCGCGGCGAGGGAGTCCCACGCGACGCCGGCGGCGGTGGGCGCCGCTCGGCCGCCGTCCTTAGTGGGTATGAGGTTCCAACCTACTCTAGCCTGGCTTGCGCTAAAAGGACTTCGAGCACCAGAAAGATACCGAAACTCGATGGTCTTCACGTGTCGGGCTCTGGGAGGCCCTCGCCCGACACCGTTTCGACACTGCTTCGGCACTTTTCCGGGAGCTCGAAATTATTTCTGGGATGTGGTTCTTAAGTGCGACGGGAGCAACATGGAACGAACACTGACATAACCATAGAAGCTCGGAGATCTGCGCGGATTTCTCGGATCCGCGCTGGGCCCCCCTGGCGGCGCCTCTGGCGCCGCCCCTGGCGCGCTCCGCGCGCCAGGGAGGGGGGTCCAGCGCAGATCCGAGAATCCGCGCGGAACTCAGAGTTTTTCCCCAATCTGTGCTTGCACTGAAGGGGTCCTAGCGGAAATTTAAAGATTTGGCGAAAAAATCCCGCCGATTTTGGTGGCCGGCTGGGTTCCTGGGTTCCTGGGTTCCCGGTTCCAGGTTCCTGGTTTCCTGGTTATTGGTTCTGGGCCGATTTCGGTGGGTTACAGGTTCCTGGGTTCCCGGTCGATCTCTTTATCGATCTCTTTATCGATCCCACGATTCATCAAACCATCCACTGATTGGGGCTGCTCTCTGGTGTACTTATGTTTATGCCATTATTTGTTCCCCTACGCTCGGCCGCCGTCCTGCGCCTTCTTGCCCTTGCCCTTGCCCTTCGCCTTCCCTCGGCCCTTCTCCTGGCCCTTGGGCTCGCCCGGCTCCTGGCCCTTGGGCTTGCCCTTTCCCCTTCCCTTGGCCTTGCCCTTGGCCCTGGCGAGCTCCTCCCAGGAGGGCGCCGTGGCCACCCGGTTGGTCGCCACGTTCTTGACCTCGGAGGCAGCCCCTCCTCCACCCTAGGCGGAAACTCTTGGAGGCCTCGCGCGGCAACTGGAGATCCGATGTGCGCCGGATCCACGTCGGAGTTACGTCGGGTTTACGTCGGACCACGTCGGAATCCCGTCGGATGTAAGTCGGCCTGACGTCGGAGCACCGCCGCGCGAGCGTCGACCCAGCGCTTACGGAGCTGACGCGTAGACTAGATAATGTAACGATTACGCGCCGCGAGAGGCCTCCAGGACTTTCCTCACAACTCACCCTCACAGCCGCCGCTCTGAGGTTGTTCAAGCCGCGGCCCCGAGGCTCCCGACTCCCCTGATCCAGTCGTGCTGGCCCTGGGGCCCAAAAAAACGGCCATAGGGGCTGAACTCGAGGAGAAAAAGCCCGAACTGACAACACGCATCGCCGGAGATCTGGGCCTCGGGGCGGAGCCGTGGCCCAATCCCGATCCTGCTGCGGCTGACCTGACCCCGACCCCAGCTGTGCGGGGCGGCCCCCCCCCCCCGCCGATAGACCCAGACCCCCGACGTCTTGACTTTTTGTCACAGAACGTCGACCCCCCGAGGTCGGATTCTGAGAGGGAAAACTCAACAACAACAACAACAACAACAACAACAACAACAACAACAACAACAACAACAACAACAACTACAACAACAACAACAACAACAACAACTACAACAACAACAACAACAACAACAACCACAACCACAACCACAACCACTACCACAACCACAACCACAACAACAACAACAACAACAACAACAACAGCAGCAGCAGCAACGACGACGACGACGACGACGACAACGACAACGACAACAAAAAAACATAACCAAATGGCCACAAAAAACGTCCCTGGTTATGTTCCAATTATGCTTGAATGCTCCTCCTCCTCCTCCTCCTCCTCCTCCTCCTCCTCCTCCTCCTCCTCTCCTCCTCCTCCTCCTCCTGTAGAGGGACATGCCCGACTTAACTCTCGGCGCGGATCGGTGCCCTCCTGCGGCCCTCGACCGTGTACAGCCCCGGCGCGGCGCCCTCCACGACGCGGAACTGGTCGGGCCGGCTCAGCACGAACTTGACATAGGACCCGAGCGTCGGCTTGAACGCCGAGTCCCAGTCCTGCGGAAGAAGTAAGGTACCCAGACATGATCGCGTCGTTAATTATCCAAGTGCGACCCTACCTAGGAGTTGGAGCCCCTAGGAAAGCAGCATCAGTAGTAACACTAAAGCTAAGCTAAAGCTAAGCTAAAGCTCAGCTAAAGCTCAGCTAAAGCTAAGCTAAAGCTAAGTTAAAGCTAAGCTAGGGCTAAGCTAAAGCTAAGCTGAAACTAAGCTAAAGCTAAGCTGAAGCTAAGCTAAAACTGAGCTGGAGCAAAGCTAAAGCTAAGCTAAAGCTAAGCTAAAGCTAAGCTAACGCTAAGCTCAAGTTAAGCTACAGCTAGGCTGAAGCTAAGCTAAAGCTGAGTTAAAGCTAAGCTACAACTAAGCTACAACTAAGATAATGCTAAGGTAAAGCTAAGCTAAAGCGAAGCTAAAGCCCAGCTAAAGCTAAGCTGAAGCTAAGCTAGAGCTAAGCTGAAGCTAAGATAAAGCTAAAGCTAAGCTAAATCGAAGCTAAACCTAAGCTAAAGCTAAGCTAAAGCTAAGCTAAAGCTAAGCTAAATCTAAGCTAAAGCTAAGCTAAAGCTAAAGCTAAGCTAACGCTAAGCTAAAGCTGAGCTAAAGCTAAAGCTAAAGCTAAAGCTAAAGCTAAAGCTCCCAGGGGACTGGGGGAACCGCGGGGCGGATCCTGGGGGAACCGCCCGGGGCGTGGTCCACTGCCCGGCCCTTTAAGCACACCGAGTAAGAACCCGTCTAGGCAGAGCCTAGGTAGGGAAAAATTCAGGACGGGAAATTTTTGGCCATCAAAGAACGACGCAGGATGAAAAACAGGTCCCGGGGAAAGGGTCGGGACTTCCAGGGACCCCGTATTGAAAAAATCAGGACGTCGCATGTCTGGGAAAGGTACCCATCCCCCTACCCTCGCCCCGTGTTAACCCTTTTGGGGCCTCCTCGGACGCTCTCGTCGCCACAGTTGGAGTCGCCTCAGTATTCTGGTCAGAACGCACCCTCGGAGAGGTCCGCGGAGAAGCGGTATCGGTACCTTTTGGTGCCCCCAGTCCTCTGGGACGAAACAAAAACCACATGAACATAAACTGCTGGAGGTCCGCGCGGATTTCTTGGATCCGCGCCGGACCCCCCCTGCCTGGCGCGCGGAGAGCGCCAGGGGCGGCGCCAGAGGCGCCGCCTGGGGGGGCCCAGCGCGGATCCCAGAAGTCCGCGCGGAGCGCCGAAAGTTTCTGTTTCGTGTACATGTTTCTTCTTATTATTCTTCTTCGAAGTCCTCTGGGACAAAAGGCCGTCCGTCCGCCTGCGCTTCCGGCTGGCGGAGGCCGTGCTTGATCCTGCAGGGCGGCCCGGCTCCTCCCCCTCACTCCACGAGCTCTTCACTCGCCTTCCATCCGTCCTCCATCCTTCTGATCCCTCGCTCCGCCACTCCTCCTCCTGCGCACTCCCTCCTCCCTCGTCGGCATAAGTCCTCGACCTCCCGCCTCCCCCCTCCCCTCCCTGCTCCCTGTTGATAACTTGCTCCTACGTACCACTACCTCATCCTTTCTTCTCCTCATCCGTCGCTCCTGTCTTCCTACTCCCCCACCCTTCATCCGTTCCTTGTTCCAGTCACTCGACTCCTTCCCAGACATGCGACGTTCTGATTTGTTTTGTTCAGGACGGCGTCCCTGAAAGTCCCGACCCTTTCCCCGGGAACGGTTTTTCGTCCCGAGTTGTTTTGTTGACGCTCCCGAGGCCTGGCGAGGGCCCCCCGAGGCCGAAGTTGGCCAAAAACACGCCGCGCTGATTGTTGTTCCCGACGCGAGCATGTCTGGGTTACGATCCAGCCAGCCCTCTTACCCTCCTCCCTCCTCCGGCACGGCCTCGATCTTCGCCACAGGCTCGATGCGCCAGGGCTCGGATATATATTATATATTTATATATATATATATATATATATTATATAAATATTATATATATAGTTTGTGAGCGTTTTTTGTTTCATTCGGCGTTTCGACATTGGCGGCAAGGGGGTGTGGGGGGGGGGAGGGGGGGGGGTCTGGCTCCGGACCTCTGCTCAGTGCGACTGTCTGCGAGAGTGCGGCCTCTGCTCCACCCGCTCGAAGCAGGCGCCCGGGAACAGCCAAGATCCACTCCATCGGGGGAGGCAGGGGGGGTGCGAGGGCCCGCGGCGATCGGCATAACAAGGAATCGAGGAAACATAGGGGAAGGGGGGAGAAGGGGAAGGGGAGAGGAGGAGGAGGAGGAGGAGGAGGAGGAGGAGGAGGAGGAGGAGGAGGAGGAGGAGGAGGGGGAGGAGGAGGAGGAGGAGGAGGAGGAGAAGAACAGACCCGAAGGGGAGTGCACAGCACTAAACTGGAAAAAAGCAGGGCTAAATTCCAAAAACTTGGGGGGGAGTCGAACCCCAGTAAAACGGACACTTAGCAACGGGACCTGGCCGCTGCGGCCTGTTCCCTGAGACGAATCCTCTCACACAAGGCTGACATACGCTGCTCGTAGGAGGGGGCCGTCAGCGAGCTGGAGTGTGAGGTTCGTACCACGGTGGGAGCATCTGGCTCAGGAGGGGCGGCGGACAGGCCAAGCCTCACGAGCGGGACCGCACGATCCAGGGCAGCCCGAACTCTCGGGTTGGGGCAGTATCCCTTCCTGAACACCGCCAAAATCTCCAAACCCTTCCGTGACGGAGCCTCACACTGACGACCGAGCTTTAAACCCCTCCCTTGGGACCAACCCCCGCAGCGTAGACAGAGGATCTGCTCCTTGGACGAGAACCGACACGACACCGAGAACGCGCCATTCGTCGATCGGGGTCCAACCATGGCGACGAGCTTGTGGCCCAAGGAGTCACGGAGCAGACCGCGGAGGAACGGCGGCAACCCGCGACATCCGTCCATGGGGACATTGACACGGCTACCTTCAGCAACTCTGAAACATTTCCGACATTGAAGTCCGAGCTCGCCTTTGTGCCATTCATGCCACGACACTTGTCGTCGAGACCGAGCAGCACCAAATCTGTGGGGCCTTGCCCACCGTACATCATTGTCAAAACATGGGAGCACCTGTGCCGCAAGCTTGATGAAATGCCCTGCTCTCTCACCAGCAAGGCTAAGCTCTTGGACAAACTCAGGCATCGGTGCTGGGTGTAACTGCAGGCCTTGTTTAGCATATCGATCGGCAGCAGCGTTTGCGAGCGCAAAAATCTTTTCTTCGCCCTCCAGGCCTTGAATCTCTGCGTCATCGCGATGGGCCTTGACGTGCCGAACGGTGTGAATCAGATGAGTGCCTTCGAGCTCATGCGCAAAGGCTCGCACTCCAGCAAACTGGCTGGAAAGGGCAAGCTGGTCATTTACATTTTTCTGACACACTCGAATGGCTGCCTGACAGTCCGCGCCCAGCACTGTGGGTCGCGTAGCAATCTGGCCGCAGACAGCAATGCCACAGTGCTCAGCCATTGCAGGCGTCTGCGGCAGAACTCCTGGAACAATTCCTTTGACGATCGCCACGGGGTCTCCACCCTCGTCAGGACACACCGCTATCGCCCAGGCCGCGCGCTGCAAGGGTCTGATCCAAGGCTTGGTGCTCGAACCATCAGACGCAAGGCGCAACGGAGCTTGGGTGGTGAGGCTAGCTATTGACTCAGGAGTCATGTCCAGATCGTTGCCTTGCCCGTCGTAGATGAAAACCTCAGACGACATCGACGGGCAGGGCAACGCGCTGTCTTCATACACGTGAACCCCTCGAGTGAAGATGGGGTTGTCGGGATCATCGCAAGCCGCGTTGAGGAAAGAATCAGGCACCTCAGACGCCACCCGCGCATCAACAACTCGAGTGAGCTGACAGGTATACAACCTGTGGTGGACTGTGTCACGTTCTCCACACTCACACAACCCGTCACACAAGTACCCCGAACGCATGGCACGATCATTGGTCCACAGTCCACCGCAGCTGCAGCTCTTAATTAGGTACTTCTGGAAGCGAGTGAGTTTTCGGGCCTTGGGTCCGACTTCGCCCCGAATCAGGTCCAGGGTGGCCCTAGTCCCTGGAGGGAAACCGAGCTTTCGAGAAAAATCAAATTCCCGCTCTCTCTGCAATCCAGCTTCCAGCTGAACGGCCAGCAGAGCAGGGGGCGTGGCAGACAGGTCTACTCTGAGGCCGTTGTGGTCTATCCAGAAACATGGCCCTTCGGCCCTCCAGCCAGCGCGCTTTAAACTGAGAACCGCTCTAGAGATGGGCCCCTGGGATCTGTTCCAAGTAGGGCACTCCAGATGCTGACACAAATCCCAAAGCTTCAGAAGCTCAGCGCGTGAGACCAGCGAGAGATCGGGACGCCGCGAAGCGGTCCACATCATACGGCACCATTGTATAGCAGGAGCGATAACATAGCGAGCACTACCATCCCCTAAAAGAGCGACTTTAGCCGTGAGTGAGACGCCCCCGTGAGAAGGCCCCTCACTGCGGGCCATCATTCTCCTAAGGCTCAGCCACTCCGAGGCCGTGAGACCCAAGACCTCCGCCCAAAAACCACAGGCTGGAGAAACGCCTTGTCTGGACACCTTCTTAAACGGGGTCTCCTTGGGTCCCTTGAAACGCCTCCGGAGGGCTCGAACCTTGCGAATTCGCTTTTTCAGCATAGCAATGCGGCCTTTCTGTTTCAGACGAGCTCGCTGTGCATACCGTCGAGCGCCAGCAGATTCATCAATGCCAAGATATGCGACACTCGCTTTGCAAACAGATGGTGGCAGCTGCAGAGCCGTGCAAACATCCCGAGCGAGCTCCTGAGAGGTGGAAACAATGGACAGCTTGCCTGGGTGCAGCTCCGCATTCAACTTCGAACTGGCCGCCTGGAACTGCTTCATCCCCGCAACTGCCGCTGACTTAGCTATTACATAATCACTCGAGGCAACGTGGAGGCCTGTGTCATCGATGTAGTTCTGGAGGTCCACGAACGGCGCCAGCTCGACGAAAGTGTCGAAAGCGTCGACGGCATTGACCTTGATCGCCAGGTCGCTGGCCACCAATACCCATCGCGTTGCAGGTAGCCCATGAGTGGCCACCAATGCCGTCTGAGCGTGGTGGCGCCCAAGTCGGATGACTCGTGGGCACGACCACATGTTGACAACAAGCTTCAGCCAACAATGTGGGGCTCCGTGGTGCTGAAACTTGCGTCGCAACTCGAGTAACGGAACCGATTCGTAGTATTTGACCCAGTCAACTGTGATGAGAACGCCATACTTGTGAGCAGCTTGGCTGCTCTCTGAACGAGCCGCCTGCAACCATGCACAGTCAGTGGCCGATCTCCCGCGGCTGGCACCCCAGTATCTTCTGTCAAGGGCATCATGCATGCGCGCAACCATGGGATTGCGTGCTCTCTGCCACATACGGTACATGGCGGCATACAATATTATCAGACGATTGCCTCCAGACGGCTTGCCCAGCATCGGCATCTGGATCCAGCAAAGCTGCTTGGGCAGCATGCCTATGGCTTCAGACGCCGAGAGCAGCAGAGCCAAAGTGTGAAGGCCGTCGTCATCGAGTAGCAGGAAGTGCCTCGGGTGGAAGTTATCATAGCTGGTGGCCGTCCCGACTGGAAAAGACAGGGCAGCACGACGCAGATCATCTGGCTCCAGGAGCGGGCACATCGACCGATCAGGTACCCAAGGAGGGAGAGCAGCATCAGAGGCATGCCACAGACGACGATACAGTTCCACTTCCTGCGCAACAATAACAACAGGGTCGCCTGACTGAATACCAACTGCCACGGCTGGCGTCGGGATGGCCTTGACCTTAGTGAGTCGATGCAGGGGTCGAGCGCCGCCGCAAGATGCTGCACTGCACCAGTCAGCCCATGCAGCATTGGAATCTTTAGTCTGACCTTTGACTGCCAGAGTAACATCGTCAGCAAAATCATCTACAAAAGATTGAATCTGGTCCATGTCCATGGGGATATTATTGATGAGGTTTCGCGCCTGCACAACCGTGGCGTCTAGACGAGCATTGAGGCCTTGTCCTGGGTACGGTGACGTCACAAACAGAGCGATCTCCTCGGAGCATTGCACCATGGAATCATCTTTCACATATAACGCTTGGATCGTGGTGGCCATGTTCTGCAACCACTGCCAGCCTTGACCAATACTCTGCATATCGTTCGGGTCCTTAGTCGGGTATGTCACGTTGACCCACCGAGGCTCTAGATTTCTGGCATATGCACTAGGCTCACGAAGCTCCACTCCTACATTCTGCGCGATGTACTCAGCAAAAGAAACAGCAAAACGCCCATACACACGTGTGAGGAGTGCCCAGACCACCGCCACGTCACTGCTAGGGTCAGCCGCAA